TTCATGAACACTAATTTCATGAAACTTCAAGTCCTCATATTTGATCTTAAACACAAAAAGAAAACAATTGATAGAAAAGTTCGTATACACCTTTCCTCCAGAAATCACGCGGGTCCGTTGAATGGAACTGTAGTAAGTTCTGCATAATTTTCAATTCAAACGGACTCCGGGTATGACAGTTCGATTTAATCGGTCCAACTCATGCACTACAAAAGAAAATGGTGGAAAGAGGGGTATTCCTGTAGTTTGGTTGAGAATGTAAGGATTAATGCGGGAAAGGGACCAAGGCAAAGACGGTAACAAGCTCTGGCGTGGCGGGAGAAAGTGGATTTCCGGCTTTCCCACGAGTTGGCAGCCGGTACTGAGTTCTGAGTTCTGACACGACCCAGGTGTGGTGATGAAATGATTGTTTAGTCATCAGTCAAAGAAAGTCGGCTTTCCAGTTGCGTGGTTTCAAATCCGGGAATCATTCCCTTCCCTTCTCTATCTGCTGTCTGTTACCTTTTCTTGCATATTTCTTCTATTGTTTCTTCTTCTTCTTCTTTTTTTTTTTTTTTGGGTAAGTATCTATTTGTTCTTTCTTTTCTTCCTCTGGGGAAATCGTTACTGTATCTAATGTATTTTTAATTGGGTTAAATACCAAAAATTCCCCTGTGGTTTGCCTAATGTTCACTTTACCTCCCTATAGTTTGGAAACCTACAATTTGACTCCCTGTCGTTTCAACTAAAGTATATTTAACGGAATTTCTGTTAGATTTTCACTTTAGGTGAAACGACAGGGAGTTAAATTATATATTTTCAAATTATAGGAAGGTAAAGTGTACATTTGACCCTTATAGAGGGGTAATTTTGACATTTTCCTTTCAGACTTTAGTTTAGATGTTTTCCGTTAGACTTTTACTTTAGTTGAAACGACAGGAAGTCAAATTGTAGGTTTCCAAACTATAGGGAGGTAAAGTGAACATTAGGCAAACCACAGGGGAATTTTTGGTATTTAACCCTTTTTAATTCATGCTTTTCCTTCAGGGTATCTAATCACTGATGAAATATTCTGACCTTATTCATGGGTTTTGGAATGTTGTCGTTTTAATTCAATTCTTCTAGAGAGGAATGAGGAAGCGTGACTCTTGCCAAATCTATTCAAATACTAAAATGTGATTTTGCTTTAATAACTTACCTTCTGCATTCAACTTTCTGTAATTTGAAGTATTAAACAAACAAACAAAAATGTCAACAAAAACACCTGTAGTCACATAACATCAAAGTATGCATTATTCATATTAAATCGATAAGAAAAGCAGTAGAAGAACGCAGAAATTTGTTTTTAATCCCTAAGCTTCCCAATTTTTCCTACAAATTGTGTTTAATAATCATCGTAAGTAAATTCCTTCCTCGTGGAATCTCTTATGCCTAAACGAATTTGAAATCAATTTTTAGTTTAAATTTACTCATTTTAAAATCCATCATCTAAGATCCTTTTTCGGATCCAAACGCAACCTCAATTGCGTGGTAATTTCAATGCTTTAGTAGTACCATTTTGTTTATTAAACCTTAATTAATTCACTTCCAAAAGTATAGGAATATTCCATTAACCAATCACAGTTCACGTGCATGACTTATCTTGCGCAATGAATGAGGATATTTGAGAATTAGAGTACACTTTTTTTATATATATATATTGCAGCAAATCTGTTGGTCCACGAAGTACTAACAAACACGTAATGAGATAAACTATCTTATCAAAACCAAATAAGTTACTGAACTCTTATTAGAAAAACCAAATCCATTAAGCATATATCCAACTACGAACCAAGAATTGTTTAAATACGAAATCCCGTGGGCAAGATCCATGAATCATCATGAAGTCTTAAAGGTGTGTTTGGATTGCAGATTTTGAAAGAAAAATTGCTATTTTTTTTTTATAAACATATTTTTAAATTATTTTTTTGTCTCACGTATATCAAATCGTTTAAAAAAAATGCAGACAAATGCAATTGAAACAAAGTCTAAGTTTAACAAGATCGATAAGTCACTGTCTGATTTTGACAAAAAAAAAAGAAGAAAGAAAAGAAGTCACCAGCTGACTGACTCACGTTACTAAATGCCTTTTATATATATATATATATATATATATATATATATATATATATATATTAACTACTGATGAAGGGGTTTGTTTGGATTCACATGATTTCAGATAAAAAAATTTATTTTATAAATTTTAATTATTTTTTATTTTTTCAATCACTTTTTCATCTCATATATATCACATCATAAAAAGTGCTACGGTAATTATCTCAAATAAACTCCTATTCAAACGAACCCGATATTCCATAACGACATTTGTCTTGATTCCTGAAGTATCATCTCCTTTTACGGAATAAAAATGTAATGTATGGTTGCAAACCAATTCGGAAGCCAGTAGTTTTTTCAATATATAAAAATAATATAGATTGCATAGGTTTTCCTCCGAGATTATTTGTTTATAAATCTTTTTATCAAAGAACAACATGCATGAATTCCAAAAATGGTTTTCATTTAAAAGAAAATTTAAGCACAAGTTTCTTACCATTTTTTTTTCTCTTTTTCTACTAAGGTAGTTTAAAGGTCTTTCTCTCTTCCTTTTTCTTTTATGCCAAAAAATATGAAACGGACATTTCATGAATTCATTTATGAGCAAGCCAAGTAAGATGTTCTTAATGGCTACTGGCCCTCTTGTCGCTCAGAATTCATCTAAAAAGGCTGCAATTGGATTGAATACACGGTCAGAAAGTGATACACATATATATACAAAATCCCACTTCAACACAAGGTGCAGTCAAAATGGACCATAAGCCTCACAAGTTCCCGTTTAAACCAATTGAGGTAGAATGGTTATCTTATCATTTTTTTTTATACCACAATTCGCCTCATTGACGCCCTGTTTAAATTTACTTATATTATACTTTTACTTATTTACACCTCCAAAATAGAAAATACTGAAACTAGGAGAGGGCAGCAGATCAAGTTGGCTTTGCCCAATCCCAAACCAAACCCCGGCTAAACTTTCAATCACGAATTTCGTTGGGTGGTGGGGTTCATAGTAAAAGCTACAAAGGCAAAGTACCATCATGCCTTAAATATTGGAACTCCCGCCCACCGACAACTCAAAAAGCGGGTCCAGCCAGAATAAATTCCTGTCGCCTTTCCGTCTTCCTACTTTGGAAGACATTAAAGGCGTTAGGTTCTGATGCCTTTTTTTCTTTTAAAGTGTCTACGGGTTCTGATGCCTAATGCCATGTACCAAAATAGTCGAATATTAAATGGGTGCAATAGTCTAGTACCTGTCTACAGGTTGTTTGTGTTTTTTTTTTTTTTTTCGACTATGATAATATTCATTTTACTTTACGGGAGTTTAAAGAGATTATAAAAGGAATTAATAGATATACAGAGTTGACTATATCAAATAAATGATTTGATATTTTCTTTGAATTTTTTTGAAAAAAGATCAAAGAGGTGATATAATACCTCCTTTTAAATTTCTTTTTAAAATAGATGACATTCAAACTCCTGTCTATGGTCCAAAGACAGACTTAGGTTTGATGGCCTCTGAGCTTTACAGGTTGTTTGTGTTCAGAATTTATCAACTGCATTCGGTTATATAAAGTTCCAAGGTAATATCGCACGTGAGACAAGAAGCTGATCATTTTGGTGCAAACGTACCGGCTGATGTTACTATCATCAGACTAATACTTTCTAATATATATCATTTTGGTGCAAACGTACCGGCTGATGTTACTATCATCAGACTAATACTTTCTAATATATATATATATATATATATATATATATATTATTTTTATACACGTACTATAAAATAATAATGTAGAGTTCAATAAGATATTTCATTGAATAAATTCCATTACAAATATGAGAGACTAAAGTTTATTTATAAGATTCATTTATAAAGGTCATGATCTTATATTTCATAGAAAAGAGTTGAATTAATGTGGAACAGATATTTAAAAAAATGTGTTACTTATTTCAAACTTTTACTAATTTTGAATTTTTAAAATTTTTGTCCTTTATCTTGTATTCTCTTCGCATACTTGTTTCTTGGTGGGAGACTTATTTTGAGAAAAAAAATCTTTATTAAATTTTATATGAATGTGTAAAATATAAAATTAAATTAGTATAAATTATTTTTTTAAAAATTAAATGATAAGTAGGGCGGGTATCCGTTGATCCGACCCTATCTCAACGAGCATACTATAATTAGGTACCCATTGATGTATGGTGTGAATATCAATAAAAAAAATGATTGACTTGTAAGGTACGGGTCGGATCAATCAAACAGTGGACAGGTTCGACTCGCGCCCACCCTTACTTACTTTAAAGTAGAAGATTTCTCCACTACGGGCACTTAGTCCCAATGTGATCCCCAAGAAGGTGGGGTTTAAAACATTGAGAGGGTTCCAACTGGGTAAACGTAGCTCCGCCCAAGTTTTGAATGGCTAAGCTAAACTCCCGTTTTCAGTACAGAATATCATGTGTAGCATATATATTAGATGCACCATTATAGAACATTCTAACACTTCCTCAATTTTGTGGGTCGTGTCAAATGGATGGCATGAGCAGATTCATTAAAACACAGGAGACCGCGATTCCAAGGAGATTTTGTCATCATACTCAAAAGTAGTTGCAATATTTCAGATAAATTGGGAAGACGGATCAGCTCAAGCATATGTACATGTAATCGGAATCGGAATCTCGCTACACGACAGTTAATGTCTTTTTTATATTTAAAATTTTATTTTTGTACATTTAACATATGTATTTAGTTTCCCCAGCACAGGACAATCTTTATTACATTGATAACGTGCATAACATTAATCCCTCTACTATTGTTATTGAAATTCACAATTTTGATCAGAACTGAACTACGCATGAATTTACGAGCAGTAGTAATTGGTTAGTCGATCTGTACAACTATGTGCTTGCAATTCATAAACAAGGAGAGAAAAAGATGAAAAAAGAAGAAAAGATACAGAGCCTTGCACTTGTATGTCAGGAAAAGCTGGACTTTCAACATTTGGTGGGTTGGTCGGACAGTCGATGATGGTACAAAAAATATGTATATTTCCTGTCAATCTGGCTGGCTGAAGGAGGATAAAGTTACTTTAGTGAAGGTGGAGCGGTAACATCAACCGCTTTCATCTGTGGGGCTACAAGTTGCATCAAATTATAGCATGTGGAACTACTGAAGGAGGAATAATGGACAAGGCACCAATGAAAAGTAATGGTAGTGTGATAAATTTGTCTTTACACAAGTAAGGTGAACCAAGACAAGACCAGAACAGGCCAGACCAAACCAAGAATGGTGTTCTTGAAAAAAATGATGCTGTTTTATCATGTGTGTTTATAAGAGAAGCTATCATGACTGTAATGCTCTTCCATAGCTTTTCTCAAGAATGCAGAGAATTAGAGATGCAGCTCTTCACACTAACAGAGAATCAGAGCTGCAATAATTTTTTTTTTTTTACTTTTATCTTTTTTGAAATCAATCAAAGGTACGAAGAACTTTGTAGTTGAGATATTGATCATTGAGTTCTCCGGATACTGTAATTCCATTTCCCTACCAACATGTCGTGAGTGTTTATTATCCCAGTTTTGCTTTGGGCTGCAAGCATCACCTTGGTCTATGCTATATATCTTGTATTGAACGGGGCTCTTTCAGGTTATCTTGGGTGTCAGCTAGTTGCTTCTTTTCCTAGATTCATCAATTTCTGAGTGTATCCAAATATCTACAAAGCGATTATATGCATTAAGTATGATCTTTCGGATCCATACCGATCCATGCCCTGCTTATACTCATATCAAGCATGTTTGGCCCGTAAACATGGCAGCAATATTCATGTCAGTCCAACTTGCAAGATTGAGAGTTTTGCTTGGACTTGGACCTGCGTCGGTATAATTCATTGGAGACCTCTACAACTGTAAGTGGTATTGTAACAAATAACTCAATGGTTGAAATTTAGTCCTTCTGTTCTTACATTGCAGTAGATATTGTTGGATTTTGGCGTGTAACCCAGCCCAAATTGTTGTTTTGCAGTTGTTATTCAATTTTACACATTTGACGTGTTCCTGTACATAAATGTATTTCTTCCAGTTCATGCATTGTATCAGAAAGGGCAAAAGTGAAACAACTCATTGCAATGGGCTGGATCAGTTAAGAGAAGACAGGACAGGACATGGCTATCGCCTTGGGGTATCACCAGCAATATAAATTCAACAAAAGAGCATTCAGTTACATGTATTGATGCTCATTTAAGCTCAATAACTGCAAAATGCTACAAAATTTTCGAGTATTCCCACTACACGGAATCATGTACGCTGATTCTATTGGTGGTTTCGTTTTGAGATAAACATAAACTGGCTTTCTCAACTATAACATTGCTGTCGCAGTCAATTCTGTAAGAGACATCCAGGCCTTCCAAAATAAGGTGATAAATTACATCGTCCGAAGAAATAGACTCCCCCCCACCTCCCTGTCCAGAGATTTCATCATCTTCATGGTCCTCCAATTTTGCAGCAGTGTCATTTATGCTGTCAATTCCAGTCCTAGTTATGGAATTATGTGGTCGGCTTCTTTGAGATACTGATCGGATATCCCATGATAGCACCTGCTTTATCAAACCTTCAAATTCATGTTGGGAGGTATAGAGAGACCTTTTTTCCTGTAAAGGGAAAGTACTAAGCTTTTAGTAGTGGCAGGAGACACAGCATGATCCCAAGTAGATGAGATATTCACTAACAAACGTGTCCGAAAACTGGTTGAATGAATCTTCCATTTGATGGCTAGTTTAGAAGAACAGCAGTGTTTACAAATATCCATCGCCAGACTTTCTTAAAAGTCAATAGGTTTTTTATTTTCTACTGGAAAATACCTTTAGTGAAAGTTGATTCACAAGAGTGCAGTTCAAACCCAACACAGAAGCATATAAACCAAATTTACAACTGTATCTTATCGGGGGAGGTCACAAAGTGAATTAGTAGCCAAGCGAGATACATTCACCAAGCCAAATAAATGGAATTTTCAAATCAATGAGTTATTCTTGCAAAAATTTTATGGCGACAAAATTGCCTAGTCATTTCCAAGACTGAAGAGAACAACTTCAAGGCCATGAAATAACCCAGCAGCAGTAAGACAGACAACAATCATTGAAAACAGAAATACGAAAATAGAAAATAAAAAAACAACATAAGAAGTCTCACCACAACTGGCCAACAATCAGCTAGACCGTCAGAAAACCCCCGAGAGAAATTAATGGAAGCTACTGCCAACAAGTTGTCTGCCTGTAAATCAATTTGTTATGGCTTTTTAACAAGAACAAGGTAACAGAACAAAATTTCCAAATTGGCAATCCTTTTTTTTCCCCTTTCATCAACAGGACAGATAGAGGTTTTCTTATGTGCTGTTTACCTTATTTTGGTCATTGCACTTTATAAATTCATCTAGACTTTTTTGTGCTCCTTGAAAAACTATGATATGACCAAAGTAATTCCTTAGCATATATCACTGTCTTCATAAAATATTTCCATAATTTTGATGTCTAAAACCAAAATCTGTATCCATTATTCACACTTCACTGCAGTGCCAGAAAATTAAAGCAACTATTCGAGCCTGCTGTTTGAAAAGGAAACTACCATTTTTAACCTGGCTAGCCTCGACAATGACACCTTAATCAAAACATGAGATAAGGCATGGCAATCAAAATGTACCAGCAATGTTAAACAATCTTTCAAGTTGCTCATCAAGTAAGTTGATTCAGGCCTACAAAGGAAACTCGTTTCATAAGGATGCTGTACACTAATTTAAGACAATCATCTAAACTATGCAAATTGCATCAATAAATGGTTTATCATATTAACTTTTTTCTTTTTTGGTTACATCATATTGACTTACATTAACATACAGATTGTTTTCAGCTTTAACAGCCATATGACTTGTAAACCTAACTCCATACTGAGTGTAATTAGTGTAGTCAAAAGGTTTGCTTTAGTGCCCAGTAATAAATGACTTCCAAGTACAAACGCACCAACCAATACATCTTCACTACCAAATTTTAACTTGTATTTTATACTAGTTCAGTTGCTTTCAGACTAATATACCTGGTGAACGTTCTTCTCACGAGAGATTTCAAGAATTGTCTTAGTCAATGAGATCGAAGGCACTGTTCACCAGCAGTAAGATAAAAAGTACAGGAAAAGGCCCCAAAATCTTAATGAACTAAACTACAGTAAACTCAAATCTGCTAAAAAATTGGAGCATCATAGCACCTCACTAGTACAAGCTATATCTTCCTTTTCTCTTTGTTTCTCTCCTAGTTAGAGCTAAGATATTCACACCAGAGGCTCATACTAGCTGTCGGATACCTATTTCAGCCTAGCTCTATTTCTGGTGAAGCATCAATATTATGTTTACAATGCAAATCATTACATCAAACCAGAGCTAAAGCATTTTATGCCCAACTGAAATATTTTCAATGTGTTAATTGTCCATGCTACATCTGATATTTGACATCTCTAACGTATGAATAGTAATGGAATATAGGCATGCTATCAGAGGAGAATTTCAGGAGTACATCTAATGTGTGGCTGAAGACTAGTAATAGATAATTCACAATGGTACCTTCACCCATTCAGGAACTGCCGCTTCACTTACGCTGTCACAGTATGGAAGGTAGGGCTTGACATCCAGAACAGGCTGGTAATGATGTAGAAGTGATAAGCCACACTAGTGGGATAGTGTTACATATAAATAGAATACTGTACTGTGCATGTAGAAGTAGTGTATATCGAGCTGAAGAATAATGAAGAGAAAATGTAACTTGGTTTAACTAGTAATGAAGTAACAGAGAAACTAACAGTCCCATCAACTAGGTCCACACCAGAAAGTAAAACTGTTTGTCCTTCCACTGAGTCCACCTAAATCATAGATAGAGTGCACTGACATCAGCTATTAAATTCTCCATTTGCCACACATGTTTAACTTTTCCCTACATGCATCAAACTTTAATAGTTCTGTTGCAGAAACAAAAGACAAAAGGATATCTTTTATTTCAATGCATCATCCAAAATTTTCTTTTGAAGTGCCATTGGAGACCTGAAGAAGTCTTTTGGAGTGCCAAAAGAGTCATTCAGGTCTCTAAAAGTCCTTCAAAAGAACATCTGCTTCAAGAAAAGTATAGGTTTCTGTACTTTTGGAAAAGCTTCTCAGAAAGTTAGGTATATGAAAACAAAAGCAGCCTTCAAAATAGCAGTGTTTGTTAATTTCCATGATGTCAACACAAACCAGAGATGGTAAAATATGAAACCAATTAAGCCTGTTTCTTCAGCTTTGGTTATACATTTTTGGTAACTGCTAATCATCATACTGGGATGAAGCCCACAAACTTCAAATGCCCATGCAGCATAAGCACATGAAAGGGTGAGTTTGCTCCTGTTGATTGTTTGGAGCATATGACCTCTGACATACATGATGTGTTAGTGTAACAAGCAGAAATGATTGTACCTTTGCCACAGTGAGGCCAATAGGGCATGGGCGATGAGGAGATCTAGTGGCAAAGACCCCTATCCTCTCACCTTTCAATCTTGGCACTCTTACCTATTTATTGGATGGACTCTAGTGTGAGTAGAAAACATGCAAAAAAATGATTAATGCAAGCAAAAGAGAATAAATTCATAGCACAAAACCTTAGCCTTGAATTTTGACTGGGATGGATGCTTCCACAACTTTTCCAGGTCTGTGTTGAGATGGAACACATAAAGAATCCAGCAATGAGAATACCTTTCAAGACCTTCAAGAGATGCTGAAGGAACCCGAGCAGCATCAAACTTTAACCGTGCCCTTGCAAGAGGTACAAGTAAAGGTTGTCTTGGTGTCCCATTTCTGGAAAAACAAGAAACATACATTAGTGAGAAAAACCAAGATAGCAAGGTTATTATGGCACTATATCTATTTGCATTTGACAATTTGATGTAAAAAGCACAAAACAGACACTGGCATAATAAACTCCAGATTGATGATGGATAAAACATTTTAATTAGCTAAGCTGGTGACGGTAACCCAAAAATTCAGTCACTGAAGAATGTCCAAATCTGTTTCAGAAATTTTCAATCTGCAACTTATGAACCTGTGTTTACAGGATTTCATTGTCCCTATCCTACTGCTCTCTCGGTCTCTACCTGGTCATTAGAATAAAAATGCACCAACTATTGTAGCATTCTTTTGAAACCATATCAGATATAGAGATGGAGATAATGGACATAACATCACCATCCAGTATTAACAGACAATCTTAGCAAGTAGTTAGCCATTTCCTTCTTTAAGTAGTCGACATAATGTCAGGATTTTAAGTACCTGGATTTTTAGAATGAGGGAACCTGGGGACTTTTTACTGTCCTTCACAACTATACAGTACAAATAGCTTTTTTCCTTTCTTCCTTCTTTTTGCTTATATACCCTGCATTTACATAATATTTGTGTTGTCAGAAAGATTCAATTTCCTCTTTCATGGTTCTTGCACATCTCATTCATTCTTTCCAATGAAGGATTCCAAACAACATATTACAAGATTGTAGCAAAGTACGAAAAGCTAACATTGCAAACTCAAAGGGTTTGGTGCTAAATATCTGAACAATGCATTACTCAACAGGCAAAATTTTACAGTTCCTTGCTAACAAAAAATTTCACCATGCATACTTCTCCTGATTACCTTGTAGAGAAGCAAGACTGGATTACTGCAATTGGTGCCATGGGATATGAACTCAACTCGTAACTTTCTGAATTTTGCTGAACCAATGCTTTCCTCAAAGCCTACAACATCAATTATGAGATAGAAACACTTCACGAGACAAAAGACAAAACGTATTATGTACCAGAGATCAGAGTATCACATGAATTTAATTAGCCACAATTTTCATTAAAAAGATTAGTCTACATTACGAAGGTATGATGTTCTCCTCATATCTGAGGTTTCTTTCTTCAGTTTTATATCATGGAGAAACAACCTCAGAAAGGCATTATGTAGCCATGTAAATATAATCCCTCCCTAAGAATTACCCCTATAGCAACAAGTTGTCTTTCCCATTCTAGGTGATCAATATCAGCCAGATCAATGAAGCAACTACAGAGTCTACAATAGAAAACTTCCAGACACACAACTAACAAAATTCCCTTAATCAAGATTATACTGTTGAAGACTGACAAGCAGAGTGGAGCATCGGTACAGGAGGAGCCAAAAGAAGAATATATAGCTACTTTTTATTGATTTAGAGCATTTAGCAATAACAATCTGTTAAACGAACTAAAGGGCAGCTCTTTCCCCCAAAAGATATTTGCTGTGATGTAACTGAAATTCCAACCTCTACATTCATCATTCTGGGCATGGAAATTTCTTCCAAATTTCTGTTAACTGACGGCAATCAATAGTTAAAACTTAAAAGTCCATCCAAAAAATTCACCCACATTAGTGGGTTCTGATGACTAGAGAATCTATTATACCTGCTGAGCTTTAATTCGGCCTTGCCTCTCGGCAGCACACTTTTCCAACGCATTCTTAAGGGATGCTTCAAGTCCTTGAATTCTTGCTTCCTCACCGTCCTTTGACTTTCTTCTCCAAAAATACACTGCAAACCCCAACGGCCACAATAAAGACCAAAACTTTAGAGGGTTCTGTGCATAATGACCAATACTAAAGAGAAGATATAGGAAGAATACCAGTGGAAGCAGAGAGTGTTGCAACAGCAAAAGCAATGGTGAGTGTTAACCATTTGGGGTTGTAGACCGCCATGAACTCAACTGGTTAATGGTAATAAATAATAATCAGAATCCTCACCTTCTAGTTTATTAGTTAAGAGGTTGCATTAAGCACCCTTTGATTTGCTTCAAATCACGCTTTTAGTTTATTAAGTTACGAGGTTGCGCATAATTACATTAAGCACCCTTTGATTTACTTCAAATTATGCTTCCAACTGTTCCCCTGAACCTTTCTGGGACAAGAACCTTTTCACTGGCCCGCTACTGCACTAAAACTATTGAATATAATAATATCCGCTTGCATTTGAAAACTCCGTCAGCATTAAAATATTTAACTTTAATACCATGAAGTTTGTTTGTTTGAATCATTTTTTCCCCTTTTTCAGCACATGATCAGACACACACCTACGGAGCAGGGTTAATTTAATATGTTTTTTCTCTCTTAAATCTGGTATAAATTCCGCCTAGTACTGCTTCTTTTTTTCTTTTTTTTTTTACTTCTTCTTGATACAATATGCAAACGTTGAATAAGTTGATATGCATCTGGGATTGGAGGCTTCAAAATGTCTACAATTTAGCAAATTTCTAGTTATGTGGCGAGTGGTATCAACCATTGTGTTTTTTCTGGTATTGGTGATATTGTCATTCTTGCAAAATAGAGGGAAAGAACAGGTTGGTAGTAGGTGAGTACACAATAAAATAAAAATCATGCCTTTTCATCTGAGTTTTGCATCTTTGTATTCTTGCAGTGCTAAACTATCTCACACACTGAAACAAGGGAACAAAGAGAAATCCATAGTTTTATATGCATCAGTTTTCAGTAAAGTAGTTAAAACGTTGACTGCAGGAGGTAATGCTTATTATATCGTTAGACATTTTGTTGATATTTCATATTTGTGGTATTCATATACGCATGTTGGAGTCTTTATTAGTGAGGAGGAAAATGCAATGATGTTTGTCAGATGCTTCTGAGAAAAATCTGTTTTGGTACCTAGGCTGTGCTTGTGAAATTCAAGATTCTTTCTATCCTTTGAATTAGATGTTCACAGAGATGAGAGAGGAAGACAACTTATGCTGTCAACATCTTTCCTCGTTGTTGGCTCTGTTGCTGCTCTTGTCATTGTTGAATTGCTCTGATTGGTACGATTGTTCTTCTGGGGGTGAATAATTTTATCCTCAAAACAAGTTTTCAATTGCAGAATCGAAACTTGCTTCGTACTGTCCCTGAAAGTTGCAAAGATTTTCGGCTTCAGTTCTTCATTTGTTTCCATGAGGTCAACCTTGTTTGTACTGATTTGAGCATATTTCAAATATTCTCCATCTATAACAATGATTGTTTCATGAAGATTGAGAATTAATGTAACTAACAATTTGGTGATTATTTCCCCAAGTTAGGATCCTTACAAAGTTTTTCTTGTTTTCTCTTTTTTCCCCTCATTTGTTAAAAGTTTCTTACACTTAGAATTAACTTTGCTCATTTGAGAACCCTGCATTTCCTCAGATGTAGATTTTTTTTTTTTTTTTTTTTATTGTGATGCAGTAAGTTAGAAAGTGTCCAAGGTAACACTACAGTCTGTTCAGAAATGAGAAAAAATAATTGCTCTTGGGTTCCAGTATTGGAGGAGTTCACTTTTATTGCTAAGTCTGCACCGTTTAATAACTGTCATGCTTCTACCATTGTTGAGGTAATACTGTTTAAATTGACATTATTCAGTCAAATATAATATTTTCTGTGTTTACCACTAATCGATTGTTAGTCCGATAGGTTGATAAAGGTCATTTTTTGGTTGCTTATTTTGGTGGCACGGTAGAGGGAGCTCCTGACGTGAAAATTTGGATACAGACATATAAGGTAATTATATCCTCATCCAAGTAGACTTTGTCAGTGAATTGTGTTACATTTCTTTATAGTGCTGAAGAATGATGATATGGATCTGCATTTGAAGGATGTAAGTTCCTCTGTCTAATCTCCAAGGTTGAAAAGATGAATCAACTGTGTGTTTTTTCTATTTTCTTCTTGCTTTATTGTTTTTAGAGGTCTTCACTTGAGAATGACTAAATGGTACTTGAACGTGGGCACCATTACCTAGATTGCTGTTTTTTCTATCATACAACATCAGAACTTAATTCAACTTAGTAAGGATTGCATCAATATGCAGCTTTCTTCTTAGCATGCCTCCAGTCAAAACTGATTGATGTCTCTATTAGAGAAATGTTGATGTTGGTTTTTGTTCTAAACATTTGGCAGAGAAGAACGAAACCACCTGCCATCAATTACAATTCCAACTGCAATATAACGTTTTCCTTGATTATTCAGTGCATAATGAGAGATTATTCTGAACAGGATGGCCTTTGGAACCCTCCTGTTATTGCAGATGAAGAATACAATGTTTCAATGTGGAATCCTGTATTATTTAAGCTCACCTCGAATGAATTGCTTTTATTCTACAGAATTGGGCAAGACGTTCAAAAGTAAGTACGCAGGCTTTTCATGTACGGCAGTACTGAATGACTTTTATTTTCATACGATTAATATAAACCCTCCCATGATGTTTGGTGCTTTAAATAGTACTACCTGGGTACACGCTTGAAGCCCATAATGGTAATCAAGGACAGGGTGAAAGGATGTTAGAGTTGAAAGAATAGTTTTATAGACTGGAGAGAGGTTGGAAAATAGTATGTATAAAGAGCAAGCGCTAACTTGACCTAGATAAGATTGGAGGTCGAGTAGAATGAATGCTGGAGTGTGGAAGTGAAGGGTCCCTGCTTTGTATGGTCTTGTTTAAATAGGAATATGATGCATGAGAAGAAATTGTGGACTTTTGTGCTAGGAGAGCAACCCTCTTTCTTCTAATTAGCAATTTGGCTCATAAAAGAGGACATAGATCACCCAAATATTTGTACAACCTGCATCTGATGTATCCTAGTATGAAGCTGATAACTCCAAATGTTTGAATTTGATTATGTTACATGCGTTCATCAACACAGCACTACGTTTCTTGTAAGAGAAGTACCATACTTGGTAAGCCAACTAATACATCTGATATCTTCTGTTTTTCTTCTTTTAACCTGAAATAACACTGGAAATAGTTACATTTGCTGCTACATGAGATTATTTAAGCACGTCTGATTAGTTGATAGACAGGACAATCCTCTTTTTTTCCCGCACCCAAAATCAGCAGGGTCTAATCTATATTCGTTGGATGGTCATGAACATAGGCTGTACTAAAAAGCCTCTTTTGGTAGAATCTTTTGTTGTTTTTGCAAATCAGAGTTGAGGGAAACAATAAGCCACTTGAGCACATTATCACTTTTACGTAGTTGCCTGTTCCTTTTACTGGATCTGCGGCTTGGAGATTGGACATGGGATGTTCAACTTAATTGGGCCCCTGAGAGACAAGAATTGAAAAGACACGGAGAATTTATCCACTTTAATTTTCCCATGTGATCCATGCGTCTTCAGTATTCTAAAAGTATCAAGTAACCTTCTGCTTATGATTTCATAAATATCAGATGGAGTGGATTCATGAAGCGGTCTGATGATGGAGGCATTACTTGGAAAGAAAGGGAACAACTTCCTCCCGGTATTTTGGGACCAATTAAGAACAAGGTACTGCCGAATTCGCTGCTATTATGTTGATTCTTTTGAGCTGTGCTTTCTTCACGCACTGATTAATGTTTCTCAGCCCATCTTGCTTGCAAATGGGGACTTGGTTTGCGGATCTTCTGTTGAGAGTTGGAATTCTTGGGGTGCTTGGATTGAGGTTGTAATGATATTTCACTATGCCGTGACTTCTATCTCAATCTTGTTTCGAAGGAACCCATAGAGATAATTGTTAAACAAGTTTTTCCTCTGAAACAGATAACTTCAGATGCAGGTAAATCATGGAAAAAGTATGGACCAATATACATTGAGAATAATCCTCTCAGTGTGATTCAACCCGTTCCGTACCTGACTGCAAATGGAGCCTTGCGCGTGCTGCTGAGATCATTTACAAACATAAGTAGAATTTGTATGTCAGAATCTGAAGATGGAGGTCACAGCTGGAGCTTTGCAAAGCCTACAGAACTTCCGAACCCAAACTCAGGTTGTTATTGAAATAGCATACCTGCGAATGGACATAGATGATAGATCTTTTTAGATTATGGTGAAAGAATGCAAGTAACTATACATAACATCCCTGTCCCAGGTTGAATGTCTTGCTTTTCTTTTCAGTACATTCCAAAGTAATCGCCACTTTCCTTAATTAGAATATTACCAGATCCCAAAAATGTAATGATCTCCTGTGTTTCCCATTGTCTTTATTAGTTTCAGTAACCTACCATAAACTTAAACTCTTTCTCTTGATATAGTATCCTAGCTTCTCCAGTCAAACTCAGACACTAATTAAGTCTGAGGGGAGGTGACTAACCTGTTATAAGAATTTTGTACAACTCAAGGTTATGCACTAGAATACTATCATGAGAACTTAAATTAAGATGAGTATGAAGTTGGGAACTAGCTGATAGAAAGTAGGAATACCTTTTCTATGACATACACGTGTTGGTCCATTTATTTCACAGTTTGCAGGCATTATGTTTTTGTAGATTTGAACCCACACAAGAAGCAGATGTTGCTCCAGGTTTAAATTAATTCCATCTCTTGAACAATTTACTTAGAATGCAACCTATTTGATATGAAATTGTGAAATTTTAGTTTATCTTGTTAATGCTCTTCAATCAGGAGCGCCTTAAACTCTACTGGAAATTATGTTTGCGCGGATTGGACGATGCTACATTGAATATCTGGACCATGCCATTCGTACTGGAAAATGATTTCTAATTTGTCTTGCCCGCTAATGTTTTGAGTTTAATGGTTAGGTATTGATGGGGTGAAGCTGAGAGATGGACGTCTTTTGGTAGCTTATAATACAATCTCGAGGGGTGTCCTCAAAGTTGCTGTCTCCCCTGATGATGGAGACTCATGGCAAGAGGTGACAACGCTAGAGGAGACTGAGGGAATGGAGTTTTCATATCCAGCTGTTATCCAAGCTAGTGATGATCTAGTTCACATCACATATACGTACAACAGGACACAGATTAAGGTAACAAAATTTTGTACGATCAGGTGATGCATTATTGTTGTCGATCCAATGTTCATTCCCTTTTTTGTTTTTTCAGCATGTAGTCCTTAATCCCATTTGATCAAGTGGCGCATTTTAAAGTCAACTCTTGGATGAAAGAAGGTACTTTGTCTCTATGCAAATACTAGAGTTACATGTTATTAGCATTTCTAACACCTGCTTCTTGAAAATTTTTTTTTTCTTTTGAGCGATCATTATATTAGCCCATTTAGATGCAACTGTATTTGCTTCTGATTGTTGGCTGGTTATGAATTTTGTGCCCTTTCAGCTTAGGACTGCCACGCCTTGTGAAATGATTTTTTGACTGTTCATGCAAGTTCTTGAATTTTACCCATTGGATATGTAAAGCTAAAAGTTATGGTCCTAGAGTAAATTATATTCGTGATATGGTGATATGAATATCTAGTGGATGTTCTTCATTTTAGATTTCCTTGCTTTTTTGCCCCTAAAATTGTCGAAATCAGTTTTGGTGATGTTCACTTCATACAAGTGAAGTTGGACAAGCAACTTCTAAAGCCAACCAACTTGGGTCAATATCTAGTGGATCTTTTGATAGCCCAAGTCATGAAGTTTTAGTTACTTTGGGAGGCTAGTTTAGTTGCTGGCTTGTTGCTTCTCCATGTAAGCTACTTCATTTTCACATTGGTACGGTTAGTTCAGACTGAATGCAACGGTAAAAGGATACTCAAGAGACTTAAAGTTGATCCTGAGCAGTGGCCACTGGATGCTCAAACAAAGAGTTGCTGTTTATGAATCTTGGATCTTCCTTTGTTCAAATGATGATAGACCCTTAATATGCTTTGGAGCTCCCTTTTTTTTTTGGTGAAAATTTGGATTGAAGTTGTTAAAAAAAAAAAAAAAAAGTGATGATATATGTGGACCTTGTGGTGAAAGATTGGTGTCAAATACCTCAATGGATAAATACGCAAGAGCGAGCTTTTTAGTACAAGAATCTCTTGCAGGAACTTCTAAAGATGTCATGAAAGCTCAGTTAAGTTGGATGTTGGCTCTTAACAGAGTTCGAAAAAGGGATTCTATAAGCAAATGGATACCTCTTCCACCAGCAAAAGATGCAGCCGGCCAAATCCGATAACAGAGCTGTTGCTTTTGATTTTTCTACTTTTAAATGCTGAGAGCTCAAGTCGATCAACATCTGCAGCATCCCACAAGTTCAGGAACTGATCATGACAAATAGTCGGTAAATTATCATTATCCCAATGGATAACTGACTGGAATTTTGTAGTTTGGGGTGTGGGGAAGGACTTGTCCGGCAGAAACACCCCATTAGCCGACCTTAACAGAGGAAGTTGAATAAAACTTTTTTGATTGTCTGCATTTCACAGTTCTAATGGCATAAACCTGTTGATCATCTTTACAAGTAGGATAAATATTTGAGTGAAATTTGGCTTCCAAGTAGGTAATAACACAGAAACAAGCATAACACAGGTCATCCCTCTGTCACGGTGACCCGAAGAGTATTATAGGTTAGAACTGACAAATAAAACTTAGAAAGATCCACTTAAAGCTCAAATAATTCCTTCATTCTCTGTCTGTAGCTATTAACAAGTACACTATTATTACTCGTGCAAAGATCCTTGTGTTCTTTAACTACTGCGCTGCATGGACATTCTGGTTATATTTTTCTTGGATAATTTTACCAGTTCCTAGCACCATCTCTTCTTAATGACTTCCAACTTTTTAAATTGTGTTCAACAGCTCAAGCGCTTGAAATTGATTTCAGAAATGGTCCTTTTTCTTTTTCTTGTGCAGGTTTTTATCGTTTTCTCGCAGGAGGGAGATGAGGATTGGATGCATGGAAAGGGGCTGCACTTCTTCGAGTGATGAACTTTTTTTTTTCCCTCTGGTTGTAAATCAGTTAACCTTATCCTGAAATTCAAAATACTACTATTTTCTGAAAAATCTATTTCTAAATAAAAATAGAAAACTGAAGGAAAAAAAAAATATCCAAGGAGACAGTTATGTATAAGAAAAGGACATGCCGGTGGAAATGATCTGGCCTTCTGTTGGAACTGGGTTCAGCCCGTGTGTCAGGTGCCAGGACTCTCTTCCAAATAGACCAATAAAGGAAGATTGTTGGTGGGCCAAGCCCATGTAACGTTGTATTGGCCCAATACATTCAGGTTAGCCTATCTGAGGAGCCGCTATTGGGTCTACAGGGACAAACCAAAATGGTGGGGTTTACCTTTTCCTGTTTGTGGGTCTCGCTAGTTCTTCTGGGATAATTATATGGTACAAAAAAGTCAAAATCATGGGAGGCAATCCGTAATCGCTGGTTAAAGTGATTGAAGTTTGACAAATTCCGTAAAGAGAATAAATAATATGCTTTGCATTTTTCTTATGGGTAAATCCATGCCTCCACTTTAGTCGACCAGTGACTTGTATCAACCTTAGGTCGGTCTATGTTTGACTCTACTTTCCTCTCCCAATCGAGTAGTCCTTGGACAAAAGTAGGTTATTTGGGATAATTTTTTTTTTAAAAAAAATACTGTAATATTTTTTTTTTAACGTGATGTATATGGGATAAAAAAATAATTAAAAACTAATAAATTTTTGTAAATAATCCATTATTCAAACTAACATCCGCTATAAGTTTTATACAGGTTCTTGAGACCACTTTTTAAGATTTCGAGCCGCCTTTGAATGGAGCTGCAGCATGCATCCACATTACAAATAAAGTATATGTTATGATGTTATGTCTCTGAAAAAATGATTAATAACACCATGTACGATTATGTAAGCCTAATTAGATTACATAAAAAAAAAAAAAAAGACCCTACTATTTGTTCTTCGATTTGTCTTCCCTTTTATTTGATAAATTCAAAGGAAGATAAGTTGTAAAACAATTTTGCGATCCCAGAACTCGCATTGTTTATATATATATATATATATATATATAATTAGTTTACAAGTATGATGCCCATGTTGTTGCCTCCCCAATTTTAGTTCCAACCAAGATTTGGGAGTAGCTGGGAAGCCGAAAATGGAGAGCAGAACATGTTCAACAACCAATAATAAAGTTCAAAAGTAAAAAGAACGCGTAAATGGAAATTGGAAATCGATCTTCACTTTGCCTGAAGAAGTCAGCTGCCTCCAAACGTTCATATGTACTCTCCCTCACTCACATGCTGTTGCGAGCATCTAACCAAAACTACACCTCGGATTCCGGGGGGGGGGGGGATAGGGATCGATGCATGTTTTCCGCAGACCTCACTTTTTTGCATTAAATGAGAAGTGTCACTTTTGTTTCTTGGGGTTTTACTTATTCAAAGACCAGAAATAAAGGCAGACATACACATTTTTATTGCCTGCCCCTTTCTACTGAAACTGCAGGGCCAATTAATGGGGTAGGAACCGAAAACGAAAAGGAGAACTTAGATCCCAATACGTTTACCAGCAGCCTCTCGTAATGCCAGGGAGTCCCGGAATCGACATTGTTGACTTGCACATTTCTTTAGGCAAATGCTAAACAGTAATCACACAGAAGCCACAAACTCTTACCAGTCCATTTCTCCAAAGTCCAAACCATTCCTTGCATCCACATTGCACTGGCTTTTAACAAAAAGACTTGGAAGAGGTGAAAGAAAAACATAAAAACTTTCGTGACTTCATCATATGCATTTATGCTTGTGCACCTCCATTCATTGTATTCTAACCACCCAAAATAAATGAAGTAACTAAACACAAGCATTTTTTGTCACTAGTATTGACTCGCATTCTACGGGTGGGACAAAGATTAAGGTGATAGAAACATAAAGACCAAAAGATAAAACATAAATGAGAAAAATAAGAAAGTACTAGAAACTTTAGAGTTGAGATTATGCTGTAACATTTTTTTATGTGGTATATGATAGATAAAAAGATAATTTAAAAAATAAAAAATTAATTAAGAAGAATACATGTGATGAAACGTAAAAAAAAACAGGACCTATCCAAACATAGTCAATTGTTGAGCATTTCAACGAACAACTTCACATGATACTATACTACTATCAGTGAATAGGACTTGTATTATTTTCCCTCAAGATATATGCCTTTCCATGTTAGGTGGTTTATATAGACTGTCTAATAAGGAATTTTCTCACTAACAGATTCATTATCATCTTAAATCTTAATCTCCTTAGCAAATGGATTATATTGATTGTGAAACCATACCTAAATGTCTCAATAATTATCTCTCTTTGAAACACAAGAAGTTAACGAACGGAAGTTTGTAGAACGTCTGGAAGGGAAGTTTATTGTTTAACTAATTATAGCAAACCCCAGATACCTCAGTGCAATTCATTAACTCCCATACAATTAAACTGACGTGTTATTTCCTTGAAGTGCCACTTGGTGCTTGCTTGGCTTCTTAATTGCCTGCCAACTGTTTTTGTCTGGATCAAAGTTCGGGTTTCCGTCCAAATTGGCAAGTTCCAAATTATGGTCGAATTTCCAAGTTTCAGCGATCACAGGCATTGAACTTTGTGTTTGCAGCTGGGAATTCTGCTGTCTTTCCCATTTGGCTGCCTAGCTTGCCAGCTACTCCTCTTGGGGGCTTGATCTTTACTTCTTTTGCCACTGGCCTCAAATTTCAGCAAAATCTGTTGCTAAAGATCCCATCCACACATAACCCTGCCTAAGTATTGAAAATCCCAACTTCGCCTTCTAAAGTTGTGAATGGTCATTTTGTCTTCTTGATTTGTTGCATGCATGCAACATGCCAAGTGTCCTGTGTCGTAATTGTTGTGTGTGTGTTTTTTTTTTCTTTTGTTTTCATGCTGCCTTGGTCCCGCCAATGAAGTAGTTGTTTTTGAATTTTCTTTCACAAAGATTGCTAGATCGTTTTTCCAGCAACTTTGATTTCTTGGCATCTAATTTGCATGCCAAATTTCATCAGGAGCAGACTCCAATAGAGGTACGTAAGGGTAGGGTTTTGGATGTATGTTTGTTGCGGGTTCAATGTCTCTTGACTTTGTTAATGGCTCCAAAATTTTTCTGTCGACTTTGCTTTAATTTCGTGGCTTGGTATTTGGATACAGGAATCATTTTGTAACGCGATTTGGATCTTATATAACGTTTCTATGCTGGTTGATGAGTAGTTTTACGCGTGAAACTTGTCGATTTTTGCTGAAAGATACAAAGGAAATAATGTTTGGATAATATGCTACAACTAATTAAAGAGTACTCAACTTTCATTGTTCTTCGACAATAAATTTAGTTGAGCTGATCAATGCATGGCAAAAAAAAAAAAAATTCAGGACAATCCACTGGTCGACAGAAATTGTGAATATTCTTATAATAAGTGATATACCTTCTGGGATACCAAGTAATTGAGGTTTCAATAAGTCTTAATAATTGAATTTATGAGCCAAAACTTTAGTGTTTTTAAACCAAAGGTGTTTGAACATTGGGTGTATTCAACTCTTTTCTCTGTCGAACCCATCAAAAATTTTTTGTATTTGTATTTTTGTTTTGCTAGTTTCGAATGATGCTAGATTTTTAGTTGAGAGAAAACAAGTGGAAGACTCAGAGGAGATCTTTACCAGTACTGAGCTTACAAAATCCTAATAGAAAATTGAGGATTTATTTTTTATACCACCTATATATGTGAAGGATATTGATTATGTTCACTTGTATCTTTTTTCATTTCCTCCATTAAACAAAGCATAAGTGGATTGTTGCTTTTTAAATTGCTTTAATTAGTTTTACAATATCAAAAGTGAATGCATTATGAATGATGAGACATGGGATTCCAGAAGAATGAACTTTCAGGAACTTAAATTTTCAATTCCTCATGCTTTTGACTATAGAACTAAATTCCAAAACACCTGCAAATCATTGCAATTAATTGGAATTCCTAGCAACTGTGACCTTTAGAGATAGTATTGATTGAAAATGGAGATCCCAAATCGCAATTATGTCAGAGTTTTGTCCTTCAACTCCCACCTCTATAATCCACTATTTGTCTTTTTTTTTTATTAAAAAAATTGCACAATTTGTCCAAAAATATATGTCAAGCACTTGGGATACAGAATATTAGGCATTAAGATATATAGCAAATCTCAACCCAATCTCTTTTTTAGTGTATCATTTGTAACTTTTGAAACAGCTTAGTAGAATCCTCTTTCCTTGTTCTCCAGTTATTTGAGCAATATCCACTGCATATATCAATAGGAAGTCGAGAATTCCACTTCAGTGGTCTTCATTTCAAAGCCATTTGACAACTTATCATGCCCCTTTGCACTCTGTCTCAAAAACTACATACAAATAAGGATTGAAAATAAACCATTGAACAAGAGAGTTAAAGTTCATGCCAGTCCAACAAATTATTGTTCAGACAAGTTATATAGACAGACATCGGAATTGGATTATAATGTGCAAAAAAATTAACAATATTTTGTAGATTTTGATATTTTATGCGTATCCCATTTTAATGGTTTGGATGTGTTTTTTTTTTTTTTTTTTTTTGAAAAAACTTATCTTTATTGAATCATAAGAAAGTCACACATAGCAAGAAGCAACATAGAGACACGGCTATCGAGCCCTCCTACGGAACCTAGGGAACCCTAATCTATCCAGTCGGATATCCCCCGCAGACCAGCCCCTAACATGATTTGGCTGACCCGACCCTAATATATCGGATCAGCCATTTTGCGACCCTAATCCGCTCCTAATATTTTCGGGTACCCGAATAGCGGGTACCCGAAAAAAAGGGGCGGGTCATAGGGTACCCGCCCCTAAAAAAAACTATTTTTCAATAAAAAAAATTTATTTTCTACTTAATATCAACATGTTTTTCAATAAAAAAAACATGCTTTTCCAATTAATATTGGTAGAGATATTGTAATTAAAGTCCATACATCACCATTCTCACACATTTCATTCCAATAATCAAATCGATCTCATAAATTTAGTACATATTAGAATATCTAATAGACAAAACGAAGTTTCATAATAATTTTGAGTACATCACCATTTTCACACATTTCATA